GCATTTTGATCATAGAAACACTTGTCATTTACGTTAGAGCATGAGCTACTAATAGAGCAAATACGGTATCACTTTATTGATGAGCTCATCAAGGTTGTAAACCATTTCTTGGTAACATATTTACATAATGTACTTTTCATGTTCTTGTTGAGATAAACATAGTCTATGCAGTTTGCCTTGAACTCAATCGCACTTGCCATTTTGTTATTCATTTTGTGTACAAAGTGGCGACCACCACCGCTTTTCCGCCATTTTGTGACACTAGCATACAAGACCACTTATATTAACAGACTCAACAAACATGTGACACACTGTAACCCATACAATTCACCACACAAGACATTTCATTTATTAATGAATAATTTGGGTTTCTTTAATTGAAATCATGATTCATTTGTACAGACACCATACATTTTAAAAGTCCAATCATTGCAAACATTTAAAAAAAAAAACAATTCACAGAAAATTAAAATAATATGCAATTTGTAGCACGAGAAAATCCCAACAGAGCACGAGAAATTACAAGTTATTACATCAGGCAAATTTGACTACCGGGGTATATTTTTTATATTCCATATAATATTATATTAACATGAACATTGTGACACAACACGAGAAGGAAGAAAACAATGGCTGATAAGGTCAACAATAAACACAAGGTTTAATACACTAGCATGCAGTTAGTATAAACAGAATTGTGATTCTAATATAAATTAACTGGCCAACTATGAGCATAGCCTGTATGTCTTAAAACATTACTGATTTCATGTGTATTCAAGAGTATACCTCATGTGTTTTTGCATTCACTTGTGTTTATCCACAGTAATACACAAAAATAATATCGCTAACAAACGCAAGTTGTTTCTTTTAATTATTCACCATATTATGAATCACAGAACTCGTAAAGAATAAAACAATACAGGACATTGGATGCACTATTGAGATAAAAATAGATTATGCAGGATAAAACTAAATCAATCAAACAATAAAATATTAAACGCAAATTTGCAATACCGACAAATAATTTAAATTGCAGATTTTGTATTATTTTAACTTTATCTAAAAGACTGGTAAAACATTACTATTAGAGACTCGCATAGGAACAATCTCTCTTACTGGCAGTCAATTGGTTCATACCTGAAATGGGCTGTGATTGGACTTATCAGGCCAGGCCAATCAGAGAGTTCCTTAGTGGTAGTTAATTGGGTCATACATAAAGGACTGACATGGCCAATCATAAAGTCCCTTATTTCAGTTAGTTACCAGTCAGTTAGTCCAAAACACAGACTCTGATCCAAAGTTTAGAATATATTGTCAAATTTTTTTTTTGATTTATGCAAAATGAAAAAACAAAGCAGCACTAACAATAAAATATAAACAAGTTTTTTGTTGCACTTACTATACAAGTATTTTCTCAAGAATTGCACATGATTGAATAAGTATTTTTGTGTGTGAATTTCTGAAGATTGAGACTTAACAAAAATATTTTCATCATTTATAAAATATTAAAACAAGGCTGGCAAAATATAAAAATGATCTAATTCAAAAAAATTACCCAGCTGTTTCCCATCACATAAGAACAATCTGTATTCAGTTTTTAAAAAGTAACAATCACAAAAACACCATTATATACATCTACAAGTATAAAAATTGAAATATATATCGGAAATACATTTTTATGTTGTATTCAATTATGATTCTCTTGACACACGTAACAAAATAGTTTCCCTGTTAATCAATACTGTTAATTTGCAGTTTTCATAGCAAACATAATGTGACTGCAGTTTGGTGAGAGACTATTGACAGACACAGGACCTAATTTGACTGTTAACAAGATAAATGTAGTGAAATACTGTATTTGTTTTATATACTAGCGCATATACCGGTACCTACGAAAATGACTGAAATGTGTCCATGGTCGATATAAGTTGTGATCTTACAAAACAATTACAGTTTATGGTTTATGCAAGTTTCTATTAGAGATGTATTTCTAATAGAGCAAATTTAGTATTACATAATTGCAAACGTGAGTGGAGTGATGTTGCCGATTAATCCATCATGACTACACGACAGAACCCACGGCCTAAGTTATATTGCACATTAACTCACCCCCCCATAAATGCTATACATGTAGAAGTCAGTAAAAAGTGTTTAAAAAAGCTTTTACACTTCTATTCACCTCTGATAAGGGTTAAAATTTGATTCAGACAGCTCGAGTTCAGATTCTTAATCCTTTAAACGCATGAATTTTTTTTGTCAAAATTATGATGCAACATTTTGCCCGATGTATTTTCAATAATTTATTTTTGACTAGACGAACACATAATACAGATCTGGATCAAAATTTTGGAAAAAAATATTGAAATGTGGCAAAAATTTGATTTTGCCGCTCAAAAGTTTAAGTCTCTACCAATATTATCTGTTTTTGCTTCATTTAATTGAGGTCAATATGAAATAATTCTAGAATTATTGTTTTTTCTTCCCACGAAGTACTATTTTGTGTTTGAACACTGGACAATGGTACCTTTTATGTGCACTCAATGAACCAGAGTGAGTAAACTTTTTCTGGCACCAGGAGCACTGAAACTGTCGAATCTTCAGATGTATGCTTTGTATGTGGCTAACGAGGTGGGATGGAGTCTGAAATGATTTACTGCATTTATCGCATTTGTAGCAACGAATGGCACCGCAGTGCTGCAACTTGTAGTGTCGCTTTAAACTATGTTTATTGTCGTACACCTTCTCGCACTTTTTACAATGATATCCCATGTTTTGTTTCTGGATCTCGTCTTTGATATCTTTGATTCCACGGTGGGACGTTCTCAGATGCGTTTCCAGATCACTGACGCTACGTAAACACAACTTGCACTCCTGTGCCGTGCCAGTGTTTAGTTTTGTGTTGCTATTCCCATGCTTGTGTACATTCATGTGTTGCACAAATTGTGATCGCTCGTTCACCTCATTGCATATGCAGCAAAGAACATGACTGGTATTGATTTTTTGATAAAAATGACAGTTACATAATTGGCATATAAATGGCAGAGACTCAATACCGATTACATCGCTCTCAAGTCCACTCTCACCCTCCTCTTCACTATCTTCCGCTCTGATCAGACCATCAACGACAACATATCGTTTGGGGTTGACTTTCTCATCACACTTTTTACATTTATTGTTCTTCGCAAAGTATTTAAACTTCGTCCAACAAGTTGGACACTGATGAAGTATGGACCCTGCATTGACAGCAATTCGGAGCTCGTTTTTAACGCGACAGACAAATGATTCATTACATGCAGGGCACTGCTGGATGGCTATTTGGCAGCTGTAATCATCGCCTATCGTACGATGTGATGAGACTAAACACATTATACAGCTTGACTTTTTAATTTTACTCGCATCAGCCTGACTGGAAGGTATCACCTCAGTCGTTTTCTTCTCAACGGTCTCAATGTCAGGTGTGCCAGTTTCCGGCACACTGGCATTGTGCACCGAGACAGATTCTACGCCTGCATTCGTTTCATCACCCGATACCAAATCGGGGATACTGTCATCCGAGGAAGTAACAGAATGCACCGTCTTACTGTTGGACGTAGCATCGGCTTCCTCCCGCACCTCCTCCTGGAAGAACAAGTACGGGTTTGAACACCGATGATAACCAGTAATATGACGCGTTAGAGTCGGTAAATCAAGGAAGTAGTGGAGGCATAAAATACACTTGTACTTTGTGACGATTGACATACTCGCTGGAATTGTGATCACGGATGTTGACGGCATTGAGTGAAGTTGTTCCTGGGCAACAGTAGACCTCTCTTGATGCTCTTTAGTCATGTGGAAAGTAAGATGCAGTTTATTGTCAAAAGATTTCTCACAATATTTACATTGATGATCTCGTTTCTGGTATGCAGGTAGTTTGCCAGCCTCTAACATTTGATAGTAACTTTCTCTACATAACGTAGTTGCAGATTGTTGTTGAATTCCAGTTGATTCACCGCTAGATGAATATGTACCAGGTTCTACAGGTAGAGATGTGGCAGTAGCAGGGAGGGTTACAATCACAGGTTTCCCCAATAATGGTCGAGGTAATATGCTGCGATATTTTGATAAAGCACTGCTTTGATGAGAAGATGATGATGTTTTGGCGGCTATTTGTGCATAATTTAGAACAGCTTCATTTTGTTGTGGTGACTGTTTCTCTATTAATGGAGATGGTCGCTGTTGCAATGACTGTTGCTGCATCTGAGATTGTTGTTGCTCAGATGACTGTTGCTGTTCCAATGACTGTTGCTGTTCTGATGGTTGTTGCTGTTGCTGTTCTGATGGTTGTTGCTGTTGCAATGAATGTTGTTGCTGAGTTATCTGCATCTGTTTCCGGCGTTGTCGCTCTTCTTCAATAAAAGGCTGCAGCGAAAAAGTGTTTGCAATCTTTAATTCCAACCCCTGCGCCTGTTTGGCTGCTAGCCGCTTTGATCTTCGTTTTCTGCTTACCCTTTTTCGCATCGTTTCCGCCACATTAGTAGATGATTTTTTGGAAAATACCTTTACTGGTATTGTTTTCACACGCTGCCATGACGACGGAGTTGGTGGAGATGTTTTCTGCATCAGCACAGAGTGGCGTTCTTCTAAGTGTTTGTAGTACGTTCCCTCATATGCGAATACTTTACTGCATAATTTGCACTTCATAACTTCTCGTAATGGAATATTTTCGTTTCTATGAGCAACTTTCAAATGTCCACTCAACGTTCCAGAATGATTGTACGCCTTACCGCACAGATGACATTTGTATGGCCGTAAATCAAAGTGTTTGTTCATATGCTCTTTTAAATGGTATGACAAATGAAATGTCTTATCGCAAATTTCGCATTTAAATCTTTTGTCTTGCAGATGTGACGGATAATGGCGGTTGTAGTTACGAGTACAGTTAAACAGCCGTCCACACTCTTCACATTCAAGATAGCCATCAGCCCGATAAATCGGTTGCCGAGTAACAATGGAGACATCAAGCCCATCTTTGGTTTTCAACAACTCACCTTCTGATCCACTCGCTGGTATCGCAGGTAATTCAACCGCCTCAGAATGTTGCGGCAAAGACATTGGAGGATCTGGAGGATTATTAAATCCTAATGGTACGCAATGCATCAAATTTGATGATGGTTCGATTTGCACAGGTACAGGCTCAGAGGTGTCAGCCTGCAGTAGTAGCGATGTGAGTACTGGCGTTGATTCAGATGAGGAATGCACAGTGTTTCTCTCTTCTTCGAATTCCCTGCTGTCTGTGGTTTCACTCGTTTCTTGCTTAATGCGTACACCAACAAATACATCTTTATCGGAACACTCCATTTCACTCATATCTTCATCACACTCTCCTGCAGGGGAACATGGTTCTTGCTTTATTTTGACGATCTGCTCTTGGACAAGATCATGCGACCCATCACGTGGCATGGCCTCTTCAGTGGGTGATGCCACTTTGGGGGATGCCATTTCCTTTTCTTCAGATGCTGGATCAAATTCAGAAGCACTCTCTGAAGAGTCCCCAAATTTCATATTCACTTGCCGAACACCCAAAAGTTCAGAGACATCCACTCTCTGGATTTTCTCTCCTGCAACGCTCTTACTAAGAACCATGGGTAATTTACGCTTTTTGATAACTTGCTTCTGCAAATGTGGATGCATGGTTCGTCCCCCTATGGGTCGAGTCAGTCGAGGTATGGTGATTTTACCAGGGATTCTATGCAAGCCGCTTGCTACACTGTCATCAATTTTAGCAGTATCAAAATCTGACCCACTTTTCATTGGTGCCTCAAGATGGTCACTGTTATCAGCAGGGATTTCTGGTTTGTATGATGAAGTCTGGGGATCGTCAGCTGGCAATTCAACAGCACAAGTTTTGCTATCAGGAACAGGTAGTGCTTGATTCTGATGCTGAGTGAACTGTTGTACTGCCTGTATGGGTTGTATTGGTGATACCTGTATCACACGTTTGGGTTGAATGGCAGCAAGATGGGACATTGTCTGGATGGCAGGACTAGGCTTGGGTTGAATGGGTGACATATGGGGTACTGACTGAAGTGCAGGACTTATTCTAGGTTGAATGGGTGAGACATGGGGCATTGTTTGCAGTGATTGACTTGGTTTGGGTTGAATGGGTGAGACATGGGACATTGTTTGCAGTGATGGACTCGGTTTGGGTTGAATGGGCGAGACATGGGACATTGGCTGAAATGATGGACTTGGCTTTGGCTGAATATGTGAGGTGTGGGACATTGTCTGGATAGCTTGATTTGGTTTGGGTTGAATTGGGGAAACATGTGACATTGTCTGCACAGCTGGACTTAGTCTGGTTCTCAGTGGAGGAGTGTAGGATGTTGGCTTTGGTTGTATTGAAAGTTGTTGAGGTACTGCTTGCATGGGACTGGGTGTTGAAACAACTTGTACAACTGGCTTAGTATGTTGTGTCATTCCAAGGGATTTTGCCTGGATCTGTGCTCCTGGAGACTTTTGTTGTATCACTGGACTTGGTCGCGGTGAAATAACTGCATAGGAAGTACTGGCTGGTGTGATAGTGCTCGGCAGTTGTGCAGGCATCCCTGGTTTTGCAGGCATCAGTGGGGCGAGCACTTTGAGAGGCTTAATTCCTGCAGCAGCAGATCCTGTTGATGTCATAGTGGATGCAGCGGAAACTGCAGTAACTGTGACTGAAGTTATCTCTGAAGGTGTTGCTGTCACTACAGGTGCTGCAGCATTTGTGAATACTGTTTGCGTTGGCGCAATATTTGCATGCGTTGTCTGGTTCTGTAAGCCGGCAAACATTGGTTGTATCATACTAGCTGGTAGGAGTGAACCAGCCTGGCCAGTCATCATATTTGGAGGAATGTTGGCGAGAACGAATATTGGTGCAGTACTGTTCACTGCGGTATTTCCTCCACCTGTACCAATTGGTGCCATGACATATTGAATTTGCGGCTGTGAAACGGGCATGACAATACTCGGAGATGACATAGTTGACACGGTAACTGGTGGCGGGCTAGACATAGAAGTAACTGTATTTGACACAGGCTCAATACTTGTAGGCACTGATTCAGCAGTTTTTGGTAAAATAACTCGACGATGCTGTGACTGCAACTGTGACTCGGTGACCATTTTACAACGGGATAGATGTTTCATTAAAGATCGACTCAGTATTTCTTTTTTACAATACATACAGCTAGTCATGTCAGGAACGCGTAACATTTGTGTTCGCTTATACAAAGTCCCACATTTTTTCTCATGCCTTTTCATGGAGCTCCTTGTGGAAAACATAGCGTTGCATTTCCAGCACTGTACACGTGGGTCGGTTGAGAGAATCTCTTTATCGATCGAAGCATTGTCCTCGGTACATCGATGTAGGTGGATCTTCAGCCCTCCAATGCTCATGAATGACCTGTTGCAGTATTTACACGTTGGACGGCCATCTTCTGTAAAAGATATAGGTTATATAGTTTTCAAGTGCCAATGTCAACTTTTGTCACCTTCCATCACCTTCAACAAAGTAAATTCTACCTGTGCATATTAATTAGGCAATTTGCATATTAGCAGTATGAAGATTTCCTATTTTTCCTTTAAGACAAGCTGCCTGGTCGATAGACAATTATGTTAATTTGGTCAAAATTTAACGAAAAATATTATGGACACAAATTTTGTAATTTTTGTAGGAAAAATAATGGCATTCGAAAGGTGAAGACAGATCTGTATTGCATGCATGAATTTGATTTTCTTTCATTTTTTCTTAAAATGTGACTAATAACTAAAAAAAAAGGTACAAATTAGAACATCATGTCCTTGTACCAAATGTAACAAAATGTGAACAAAATGTGACCCAAATGTGAACAAAATGTGACTGAAATGTGAACAAAATGTGACCCAAATATGAACAAAATGTGACCCAAATATGAACAAAATGTGACCAAAATGTAACCCAAATATGAACAAAATGTGACCCAAATATGAACAAAATGTGACCAAAATGTAACCCAAATATGAACAAAATGTAACCCAAATATGAACAAAATGTAACCCAAATATGAACAAAATGTGACCCAAATATGAACAAAATGTGAACAAAATGTGACCCAAATATGAACAAAATGTGAACAAAATGTGACTGAAATGTGAACAAAATGTGACCCAAATATGAACAAAATGTGACCCAAATATGAACAAAATGTGACCAAAATGTAACCCAAATATGAACAAAATGTGACCCAAATATGAACAAAATGTGACCAAAATGTAACCCAAATATGAACAAAATGTAACCCAAATATGAACAAAATGTGACCCAAATATGAACAAAATGTGAACAAAATGTGACCCAAATATGAACAAAATGTGACACAAATATGAACAAAATGTAACCCAAATATGAACAAAATGTGACCCAAATATGAACAAAATGTGACCCAAATATGAACAAAATGTGACCCAAATATGCAAAAAATGTGAACAAAATGTGACCCAAATTTTGTAATTTTTGTAGGAAAAATAATGGCATTCGAAAGGTGAAGACAGATCTGTATTGCATGCATAAATTTGATTTTCTTTCATTTTTTCTTAAAATGTGACTAATAACTAAAAAAAAAAGGTACAAATTAGAACATCATGTCCTTGTACCAAATGTAACAAAATGTGAACAAAATGTGACCCAAATGTGAACAAAATGTGACTGAAATGTGAACAAAATGTGACCCAAATATGAACAAAATGTGACCCAAATATGAACAAAATGTGGCCAAAATGTAACCCAAATATGAACAAAATGTAACCCAAATATGAACAAAATGTGACCCAAATATGAACAAAATGTGAACAAAATGTGACCCAAATATGAACAAAATGTGGCCAAAATGTAACCCAAATATGAACAAAATGTAACCCAAATATGAACAAAATGTGACCCAAATATGAACAAAATGTGACCCAAATATGAACAAAATGTGACCCAAATATGAACAAAATGTAACCCAAATATGAACAAAATGTGACCCAAATATGAACAAAATGTGACCCAAATATGAACAAAATGTGACCCAAATATGAACAAAATGTGACCCAAATATGCAAAAAATGTGAACAAAATGTGACCCAAATGTGAACAAAGTGTGAGCAAAATGTGACCCAAATGTGAACAAAATGTAACCCAAATATG